AATTTACTGTATCTGTATATGTTTTGCTAAGCAGCGTTAACAACGGTAATGGTGGACTAGCCGGTTCATCGGTATGAGCCATTTTGGTTTTGGATGGTAATCGTCCACGTCTACCCGATAAACTACCGTACCGAACAACTATAAATTATTATCTTATAAATATTGACAATTTTAGCAGCAATAAATTAAAAACTAAGTGAAGATTTCAATTGTCTTTAATCAACAATTTTAAATTTTTGATCAACAAATAACTGTTAAGATATAAAATTGTTGCTACTAACTGTTACCTTCTTTAACCATTCCAACAGCTAAACATTTCTGAAATCGGCAATATTGGCAACGACTACGAAAACGTTTATCAATGGTACAATTTTTATTACCAGTGCATACATATTGTGCCTTTTTTTGTACGGTACGCTAAACAGATTTTAACCAATATACAAAAAAATGTATATATTATAAATAAGTAATAATAAAAGTAAGAACTTTTTTTTTTGTTTTTTCTTGTCAAAAATTAATTACTAAGAAAATATTCGTCTTTTTAAGAAATTTTGGAACCTTAACAAAACGCCTTGTTTTAGTTTAAAAGGTGATTGAAAAACAATCTTTTTTATAATGTCAAAACCTTTATAAAGTTATTCTTTTTTTGTTAAAATAAGAGAAAAACCCAAAACAATGGTTAACTTACTTTGAAGAAACCTTTACAGCCTTCACAAGTTCTTGCGCCATAATGTTGACAAACGGCTCTATCTGAACATACGGCACATAATTTATCATCGGCTGTACTCCGGGACGATGACGATGGAGTTGGAATAGCTGCTGTTGTAGTTTCCAGTTGTTCACCAAATCTTCTGTAACATTGTATAACTTCATCGGTGATGTTCTGATTATACTTTTCAGAAAATTAATAATAGCAAAAAAAAAAAAGAGTTTGGTAACTAACTGAAAATTCATAAGCTGTATTGGTGCGGTAAATGTTGGAGGTGTTGGTTGACTACGCGGAGATGGTGTACTTGTGAAACTGCTTGTTGAACTTAAATCAAAAATCATTTCTACTATGATATAAAGAGAATTAAATTAGAAAAAAAAGAAAAAAAAACATAGACGTAAAAACAAAAGAAAACAAGGTTAAAAAAATGAGGTATTGACGTATGTCAATATTAGTTTAATACAAATCATACACACATAACTTTGTTCAACAACACTCAGTGATAAATCTAAGATGAAAAAAAAAAGTGTTAAATTATCTAAAAAAAAAGTAGAAAACAAAGATAAAAATCAGTCAACGGTATTATTCACATAAGTATTAAGTTGGAAAAAAAAACTGATAAGCAAAAAAAAGTACTAACCTAGTAGTGCCTTGACTGTCTCGTCGATCACCTGAAAAACCGCATTGAACGGCACTTGCCGAGAATTGAAACGGAATTGTTGTGGGATCTAAATAAGTGCAAAAAAAAAAAAAAAAAAAAA